ATCCTCAGAGATTTAAGCCAGGACCCAGCTCTGGCCTTTAGCGGTCTGATTTCTCTAATCACGCATCTGCCTGCATTCAGAACACCCAGAATTCACTTTCTGTGTTTTCACCTCCCACAAACAGATGAGTATTATGAACAGATACCTTACTTTGAGAGATGCCGGGAAAATCCACAGCCTCCCCCTACATCCCACCTGGTTCTCTGGGATATGAGGTCTGAACTCCGTCCAATCTTTAGGAATCTCCATTAAAACATAAGTCTCCTTGGGCTCATCAGCTGCTAACCCTCAATACCTAACTCAGAGGAAAATGCTTATGCAAGTGTGCTTTAGACAAAGTGGAAGGGAGGTAGAAATGGGAAAGAGACCCTAAAGGGGGAAATGGACAGGCTACAGGCAAATGCTGCCTGGAACAGCTGAAACTCACAAGCTCTCAAATGTCTACTTCAAATAAATGGAATATAATTTGCGGCAAGTTAGCTAAACTTGCTTAGTATCAGATTCTTTAAAATGGGCAAAATAAACTTAGCTAATACTTGCACTAGATGCTCTTCACGTATCATCTTTATTCATCCTCACAGCTCTATGAGGCAAGTGCTATCACCTCCATTTAACAATGAGGAAACAGACACAAAGAGTTTAAAAATGTCTAGGGCCACATAATTAACGTTTGCTGAATTCAGGAATTAGATCCATGAGCAATGCTCTCAACCACTATGTCGAATTTTACTTTTTTTTTTTTTTACGCACTCTAAGATACTGTTGGGAGGCAGGCTGGGGCTTGAGGCACACGGCCCCCATCTCTGGATCCTGGGCAGCTGGCTCTGTTTAATAACTCTGTTCTTACCATCCAGTATGGTTCTCCCTATTAAAATGAGGTACCATTTGTTAAACTTTAGTCTATGTAATGGCGTATGATGATGCATTAGGGTCTGCATATACTTCTGCCTTAAAGAACACGGATGCATTAATTTAAGTGAAGTGTTTACCTTAACTAATGTATTTATATGACAACATTAGCTTAGACAGAATCTCTGTTAAGAAGGGCATTTGGAACTCAAAGTTCTCTCTAAAGATTGAAGCATTCTTCTCTCAGAGGCAATTTCTTGTGAGTAAAAAATGCAGACTAGGTTCATGAAAACAACCTACTACCAAAATGAAGCAGCTTTCAAGTCCTTATCATAGTAAATGCTTCACTTGGAACAACTCAATCCTTTTGATAAGCCTTTGAAGTAAATATTACCACTTTCCCATATTGCAGGTAAAGAAACAGGTACAGAGAATTTAAGCAATGTGTCCAAAATGAGTAAGTGGCAGAGCTGGGATTATAACTCAAGCAGTTAAGCTCCAAGCCTAAATTTTACCCTCTTCTTATACTGCCTCGTTCCCAGACAATGGAAACTATTCTAAATCCAGGCACAGTTTGTAGACAAAACCTTAATGCTGATAAAGCTGGAAGACAGGAAATGCATTCTTCCCATTAGCACAGAGTGAAGGCCCACGGGCTAACTGTTGCATTATTCACGAACCAGACCCTGCCCCCCAGCCTTGCCACATCCACCAAAGGAACACTCATTTCATTTTCACCTTTTTCTTGTTTGTTCTTTATTCCTGCATCTAAGTGACGACCCCCCGACTTTTTTTTTTCTCTTAATTCCCCATTCCAACACTGTGCTTGCCCCTTAGGTTAGATCCCACATTGGCCTTAGGTGATTTTCCCTTGGCTCTTGGTGCTCTGGTTTTCATAATATGAAATACAATCGTGTGTGTAATGCATAGGACACGGCCTCTATGGATCAACACTGTCTATGGCACTTGCCTCTTTTAAAATACCATCAAGGCACTAGGTATCAATATATAAGCTTCAACACTTGTTCTATGCAAGTACTTTCCAAATCCAATACAAGAAAGAAATAGATAGGAAACAAATATAGAGCTAAAAAGAAAATCAATTTTACTTGAGACAAAATTTTGTACAAGTCTAGCCTTACCTAAATCTTTCACTTATGGAAAAAAAGCCTAGGAATTAACTTTTTAACCACTGTCTCTGTCCTCTTTAAAACGGAATTAATTTTACTTTCCATTTGGGAAAGATGGTCCTTTTAATGGCTGTCTTTATGTAAGAAGCCTTCACCTGAGGTTTAAATTAGACTGAAATATGATCTGGATTGTGAAATTCTCACTCTGTCCTTACTACCATGACTCTCTCATTTCTGAGCATGGTTCAACAAGTGAGAGGAATTCATGCAAAAATGTAAGTCTGTAAAAAGGTTAACTGGGGATTATGTCCTGGATTTGGTAGACGTTCATACCTACGTGCCTCATACCTCAATCCCATTACCACGTCTCAGTTGGAGGAAACAGAGCAAGAACCTTCCTCTCCACCTTACAGTGGCAGCAACTGCTTCCTCAAGCCCCTTATTTAAGGAGCAGACTTTCAGCATACTTAGAAAAATCAGATTTCTGTTCTTTGAAATTGTGAATGGAAAATGAAAAATCAAATATATTATTAATGTTTCTTCAGAAGTTTTAATAGGAGGGATTTCATAGCTAACTGGATAGACATGATTTTGCATGTTAACATGATTTAAGCTACTTGCTAATATAACAGAATGAATGCAAGAAAGAACACCAGAGCTAAAATACATTTTTAGAAAATATGTCATTTCTTTATCTAATATGCATGCAGGTAATAGAAAACAGAAAGCTAAAAAGCTAGAAAACTAACCCACTCTATTAAATTTCAAGACATTTAAATGTTTTTTCCTGTTATATCATATTGGCTAATATGTTATTGGTTACTTTGCATTTTATTTAACTTGAATTACATCTTGCAAGTTGTAACCCATTGAATATAAACCTCACAAAAATAGACCTATTTTTATATAAATATACTTATATGGTTAGAAAATAATATTGTACACAATTATTATGTACAGAGATTAACACACGATTATATAATATGCAATTATACAAAATAAATATATATGTAGATTGATACACAGTTATTTAGACCGAAGGAGTTGTATGAAGAGTAAAAATATTTGACTTAGCTCTGTAAGACCTGGACTTGAACTCAAGGTCTGTCTCTTACTATGTTTATCCTTCTGAGCCCCAGTATACTAAATGTGCTCATAAAATTAAAGTAATTTCTGTGCTTTCTGTTTCACAAATGTATAGTGTAAAAGCTGGTAGCATACTCTAAAAAGTTGACTAGATTCATCATTATATCTACATATATCATATAAAGATTACACGTCTGTATTATGTGTTCATAAATCTCAAATAAGAATAACCTCACTCTCTCCCCATACTGCCTCTTTCCTGTCCTTATTTTCAGCCCGAACTCTTTCCCCCATACTCATCAACTTATTATCTTATTTCTCATAATTGGAAAGCATACCCACTGAAACATTTCTAACAAGAGGATAGAATCGAACCTTACTTAAAGAAATATATCTCAATTGATAACACTCAATTTTTTGTTTTAGTTAACATGTATTAAATGCTTACTTGGTGTCATGTGCTGTTTTAAGCACTTTTAAAGGATAACCATATGACATAACTACTTTTGCCATTGTGCAAAGGAGAAAACTAACTCATGAAAAGTTATTTACACCCGCTGTAGTGTTTTATTTGTTTCTGTTTTATTTTGGGTGTTGTTTTGTTTTATTTTGAACTGCAGAAATTTGGTTTATGGCAGGATATTCAGACAACTGAATTAAAACAATATTCATACAGTCCCATGGAATGTTCACTCTTCAACATGTTAAAATGAGAAGACAAGGGGACCAGGTGAGTAATGTTTACTACCAAACTATTTTTGAAAACATGCACACAGTACAAAAGATACAGATAAATCAATTTTTTTTGTGATTTTTTTCAAAACAAAGATAAAATTTGGAATAAATGATGGGAAGATAGGTTCTCAGGAATCATACTGATTATAATTAAAATCAAATGGTAGATATTAAAATCTTAAAGAAACTTTTTTTTACACTTACTTCTCCAATGAAATTTTTGATATCTACCATGTTATCATTTCCCCAGAATAAATTATTGTTTTCTACAAAGTATTTTCCAATTATTTCTGTAGAAGAACCTATGGACAGTTGTTTGAGGAGAAATGTAATTCAAAATAAGAAGAAAAATGAGATATAATCATTTATTGAGTCACCAGGCACATTTTTGATCTTCGAAGTTATTAAGTAATGAAAGCATTCTTATTAAAGATTTTAGAGAAATTAAGTGAGTTAACCACACATATTTCTTAAGGGTAGAGTTAATATTTAAAACTTTTAGAAGATTTTTATAATTCTACATCCCATAGCTTTTTCAACTGACTAAAAAAATAATAAACTCAGTGATTAAAAATTCTGAATCACAATTTCAATTGGTGTTAAAACATTTAAATTAATTTTCAGGCACATAAAATAACTTGCTAACACAAGTTTGGATATAAATATTCTCAGACATGTTTCACTGAATCTAATTTGTATTTTTTAATCTGGATCTCCAAAAATATCCAAATAATTAAAATGATTATTGGTATAGCTTAAATTTGACCTTAAAATATGATGTTCATGTTAACGTTTCTTGAAAATAATTTTAAAAACATTTTCTTGCATCTATTGAATGATTACCATGTGCTGGATCCTCTGGAGAACTATGCATCACCTGTCACAGGAATTGATGGCCAATTTTTTTCAGAGATACAGAGAGCCTCTTCCTCTCTCCCATCTTAAGAGTCAATTGTGAAAGAGGCAAGATAAGTGTGTGAATTTGAGAACAAGAAATCAAGTCCAACTGATGTCATAGAGAATTAAAATATACTATTTACCTTAATAAACACTGATCAGGAGTCTGTGTGTCTAGAATTCTGCTAACTTTCTGTCTGGAGACGGACAAGTTCTATCCATTTTCCAAGAAAAGGAGCTGTTCAGAGTGGATGGCTGAAGGATAGGATTCTTCGAGAAGAGAGTGGCTGGAGCTAAATGTGCAAGCTGGGGACCGAATGTTAAGGCTCTGTGTGCTTTGTTGAGGAGTTTAACTTAATACTGTCAGCAGTGAGAATCAACCAAGGAATTAGGTAGAATAGACGCATGTGTACAATTTCATATTTTGAATAGCAAGTAGGGTGGGGAAAAAAAAGATTTGAAGCTGGGAATTTCGTTGGCTAGCTGTTGATCAGATTAGGTTAAAAGTGAGGAAGACTTGAACTGATAGACAGATGGAGACTGAGTGGGAAGTCAATACTCATGAATTATTTGGGTGGAAGAATACAATAAACAAATTTGTAGATTGGATAAAAGAGGGCAGTTAAAGAATCAGGAAGGGTTGAAGCTTCTAATTTGAGTAACTGGGTAAGTGGTGGGGCCATTAATTAGTTGGAAAAGGGGTTATTTTGACCAGGCTCTTAAGAGTTAAGTTTTGCAATTGTGAGTTACAGATGTTTTTGGATATTCAAATAAAGTTGTTTTTGGAAATAAATGTTGATGGTTTAGAGAGGTAGAGGCTGGCAGCTTGAGAATCTTGGCTATGAGGTAATAGAGAAGGACTTTCAC